TTCCTGACTGCGAGCGGCAAGGTGACCTGTAGCACCTAAAATCCTGGACCGGGCATTAGTTTGAGGATCCATATTGGTATGTTTTCTTGCTAGTGGCTTCGTTGGTCTCTGGGACCCCGTGGGGCAGCAGCCGCATCTTTACTGTGCCTTGCATTTGCCAGTTTTGGGTTCTTTGTCCATCAATAAGATTGTTGGCTTTTTGGAAAGCTTTTGGTTACAGCGTGCGTCTGCATTGTCTTGCAGACCAGTGCTGTCTTTACAAGCCAAGTTCAATCGGCATAGAGTGTTGCGTGGGGTCCGATTGTGCTGGCAGCATGAAGTTGACTGGTCCTGTCGATTTCAGATTCAAGTTTGCGGTGTAGCGAGCCCCACATGCCAACAGTGAGGCTTCGATAATCCAGCTTTGGGAGTTCTGCCTTCCGTGTGCTCCAGGTCAGGGGCCATCTGGATGGCTAGCGGCCCAGGTTCCGTGTTCAATTTGCAATGCCCCGTATCATTGTGCAGTGCGCCTGGCATGCGGTCTCTTGCTGTTGTCGCCGCGTTGCAGCCAGTTGCAGCTGCGGTTGCTGATGCCAGTGCTGACACTGTTGCCATGGTAGACTGCCTGGTAGACCTCACACTAGTTACTAGTTGGTAGGGCTTCTACGACAGCGTGCTTTGTGGTCCTTATTCCGTAGCTGCAACAGATTCAACATAGTAGAACCTCCGATCCACGAGGTTTTCTCCCGTACTAAGTAGCTGTGAGCTAAACTTCACGAGTTTTTCAAGGATGTTACGAACGAAGAGTCCATGGCCGCTTACTCAGGGAGGAGTGCGTTTATCTTTGGCTGGATTGGAAGAGGATGTTTTGCTGTTGTGAACGTGCTTCCTCGTCAATTATTTCGATGAAGGGCATGCGCAAAGGCAGCCAGCAAGAGTAGAGGATAGTGCTATCCAAGAGATCCAGTTGCTGAAGCTCGCTGTGCAACGCGAAACGTCATGTATGCAAGCAAATCCCCAGGTGCCGATGTTTGAAGACAAAGTCTTCGCCAAGGCGCTCTACAAGTGGGCTTTCAGGCATGTTGTTATTCGGGCTCCCTGCTCATGGGAATTACAGTAGGCTCGCACACAACACGATCAAAAAGCAGCGAGTTTTTCGCTTCTGTCAGTTGCTGGATCCGTGTTCACGGCTTGGAGATCAGATCCCCAACCCAACAGGATGACTGAGCTCCTTTCGTCGAGCAAACGTAGGGTCTCAGCCTTCAGCCTTCAGCCCCAAGCCAACTGCCGCTTGGATGTCACACTCTGGGACGCACCAGTTTCCGTTCGGCCGATAATGTAGCAGTACATGCTGTCCGCTTCGTGGACTCGAGAGAATTACAGAGTGATTGTGCTGATGCTTGAGATTCGCGTTAGAATATGAGTGCACCGTGAAAAGTCTACGAGTAGCAGCAGTAGCAGCAGCAGCGGTGGCTGTAGCAGTAGCAGAAGCAGTAGCAGCCGCAGTCGTGGTAGCAGCAGTGGCAGTAGCGGTGGCAGAAGCAGTGGCAGAAGCAGCAGCAGCAGCAG